ATAAAGCATTCTGCTATAAAGACACATGCACACATATATTTATTGCAGCACTATTTACAATAGCAAAGACTTGGAACCAACCCAAATGCCCATCAATGATAGACTGGATAAAGAAAATGTGGCACATATATACCATGGAATACTATGCAGCCATAAAAAAGAATGAGTTCATGTCCTTTGCAGTGACATGGACGAAGCTGGAATCCATCATTCTCAGCAAACTGAAACAGAAACATAAAACCAAACACTGCATGACCTCTGTCGTAAGTGGAAGTTGAACAATGAGAACACATGGACACAGGGAGGGGAACATCACACACTGGGGCCTGTCGGGGGTGTGGGGCAAGCGGAGGGAGAGCATTAGGACAAATACCTAATGCATGTGGGGCGTAAAACCTAGATGATGGGTTGATAGGTACAGGAAACCATCATGGCACATGTATACCTATGTAATAAATCTGCACGTGTATCCCAGAACTTAAAGTTTAAAAAAAAAAAAAACAGAAAATTTCACTCTCCAAGTGGAAGGCCTAAGTGCACCTCTCCTAGTCATTAATTGATTACACAGACTGAAAACATTAACGAGCTTATGGAAATTTTGAAGATACAATAAACTTATTCTAATATTTATTAAGGGATACTGCATCCATAAGTGAGACCACGTGCAATTATCTTGAGCCCTGATCTTAAGGGATTTAAACTGGAAATCAATAAACAGAAAGACACATTTTAAAAAATACACATATTTGTAACGTCAAAAAAAAAACCCTTCAAGATAAGACTCTTCCCACAAAAAATATACCAAGTTCAAAGTTGACTTGTACCCATCTACCAAACATTCAAGGAATAGATAAAATATTTTGCGTGATCAGAATATAGTTATTATTGCTATGTTTGTTGTCATCTCTTGCCTGCAGAATGAAATATCCCTAATGAAAATACCAGTCACTTGAATTTGTCTCCATTTTAGATTCAGGAAGACTATAATATTAAATAAATGCATGTATGTATATGTATATGCAAATATGTGTGTGCATCACACACCATAGCACTAGAACCTGCACTATGCCTGCTACTGGTTTTCAAAGAAGAAACAAGTTATAGAAATTCTAATAAAAAAAAGTCTAGCTCAGTATACACTTACAACTTTCCTAGTTGCAAACTGGGAAAGATTTTTCAAACATAGAACCTTACAATCTATAAATTAAACCCAAGAATGAAATCTCATGTCTTCACTTCCAGATAAAAAGTGTTACATAGAAATGCTGAACTTTAGTTGGAATTTTTAAATCAAACTATTAAAAAATTATAATGGGATGATCCATTGACACATGCATTATACAAACAAACTTCCTCAGCCAGCCTTTAGAATAAGAATGGCGAAACAATAGTTTGGAACTTCAGTTTCAGCTAATTTGAAGGGGCTATGCTGAAACTGACAGGCAAGGAAAGGTCAGTTTTTTTCAATTTGTGTATTTTTATAGGTGTAATTAGAGAAAAGAAACAAGAGCTCCAACCTTGTATGTTGGAACTGAAAAAGAGGAACTACTGAATTTTAATTCCTTGAAAACTCTGGAATGCATTAATTATATTAAATTCTCTTATATGTTATGTGGTTCACAAATCAAATTTTTTCTCCAAGTTTGAAGGACTGAGAGGCTTCTTAAAAATTCAATTAAAATGATGTAAAGATATGTCCACATTATGGATACGCTCCACTTAGAGACCTTTGCACTTGGCAGGAAAACTTTTCTCTTTTCATCTTAGTAGAGTTTAGGAAATGCTACCTTAATTTTCGCCTTGCTTCAATATTTCATGAGTGCCTCTCAATGCATAGTCTCCAAAAGCGTTAGATTACTGACATGATGCTATTTTACATGATGTGGATGATTTTATTTGTACAAGTTCTACATGTTGGAATTTTTATCTTTTCTTCTTTTACACTTAGAAAAAGATTGTAATGTACAAAATGATATTCCGATTTTTTTTATATAAACACACATCTCTTATACTGAGATCTAATGAGGAAAATATGTCCCCCAAAGTTTAGTATTATTATAAGAAATTATTCTTCACAATAATTGCAGAATTCCCTTCTTCATATAATGGACTTTTACTAACAGAAGGACAAAAATGTTTCCAAAGACACTGGGGTCCTTACATATGCAAATTAATAAAGCAAGTTTATTGTCTTATCAATGAAAGCCTCCTCAAATTCCTCCATGCTTTATCTGTGTTCCCACATCATCACAAATCCACATTTATATGAGATCTTAGAGCTACAGAAAAATGCATGTTCAGAGTACATTTCAGACCAAAGTAGTAGTTACCAGAAACATACTTCCTTGGTTTTGGTCATCTTGGTATGCTATTACTTCCTTCAAAAATCAACGTTTACATTGTCCTTAGGTTTTAAATAAAACAAAGATGTACATATGTTCATAAGTATGTGATAACTGAAATATCAGACATCCAAATGTCATAACTGTTATTATTTTTAAAATTCTAACATAAGTGGCATGTTTTAAAACAAACATGCTATGTTGGTAAGCTATTTGTTCAAATGCTCATAAGTACATCTTGTTGAATGGCTGTAAATGTGTTTTGGTGCATTGGATGCTGTTTATATGCTTATATTTCTGTAACTAGGAAATAAAAAGAAACCACATCATTAATTATCAGGCCCTCCATGTGACAGTACAACAACCGATAAGCCACTGGCTCAATTAAAGTGTGCAGGGCTTGTACCTGAAGAGTTTCGTTTTTTGATTAAAAAAAAATCAAAAAAACTAAACTCTTTTCATGTCATGCTAGAGCATGACAGGATTTCTTCAAAAATTTGAAGATGTTATGTAAATATTTAATAACTCTGCTGTGACAGGCCATGAGTACTGAGCAGAACTTGACTACAAGATTTAAATAAATATCAAGCCTGGGAGTTGCTAAATATTGAACATCATTATGATTGTGGTGTTTCAACAAACAATCATTAAAAGGTAGTGCAAATCCAATCAAAGGAACATTTTTGATAAAGAAACAAAGATCTAGCATGTTTACATTTTGGAAAACAAAAATCAAACATCTCTGTTCAGTTATCCTAAATATTCTCCCTTCAGCTCCACCACCAACAAAAAAAGGGGTAAAGAAAAAAGATTACCTTGGTTTGTAAAAATTAATAGCCTTATCAATTTCTGCAGAATTTGCTCTAGAGGCACAGCTCATACATGCATTGCCTTTACTATGATTAACTTTGGTGGTACTTTTCTCCGGTGCTGCCATGCACTGTTCTGGAAAGCCTGTCATCGTTTGTCTTCCGTTGTCTGTGTCACCTGAGTCCTTGTGCTTGACTTCCTCTACATGGTTTAAAGATGGATTTGCACCAGTAATTCTTTGGATATTTGAAGTGAAACATGCTGCCCAGGTGATGCTTTTGTTGCCCAAGTGACATTGAGAAGCAGGAATTCACTTCAGCACATCGGTTTCCCTCAACATGTCAAGAAATAGCAAAGCCAAATCCCAGATGTGGTCCGTTAATCCCACTGTCACAAAATAAACTATGTGATCCCAGTAAACACAACCACTCATTAGCGCTAAGGAGAGGTGATAGAAACCATTTGTTAAAGGTGACACTGTTTTCTAAGTGATAACACTCTTTTGATCACGTGATTCATTTTGTTTGCTCAACAACATGGTATGTGTTTATCCCGAGAGGAAGGACTTCAATATATATTTACTTAGAGCTTTTAATTTATACTTCCTTTCTTTTAATTGGTGTCTTGTGATCTAAAATTAGCTGGTGAACATAGTATCTCACTCAAACTCTCTCAGCTGAGTTTTCAATAATCAGACCCACTGTTACCTGAAATTGAACAAACATCTGGAGACTTGGTTTTTTATTTCTTCCCTGGTGCTTTCCATCCATACCTAGAGAGCAATTTTTGTTTTTTTTTTTTAAGACAGAGTCTCGCTCTTTTGCCCAGGTTGGAGTGCAGTGGCGCAATCTTGGCTCACTGCAACATCCACCTCCCAGGTTCAAGTGATTCTCCTGCCTCAGCCTCCCAAGTAACTGGGATTACAGGCACCCACCAACACACCTGGTTAATTTTTCTATTTTTAGTAGACATGGGATTCCGCCATGTTGGCCAGGCTGGTTTTGAACTCCTGACCTCAAGTGATCTGCCTGCCTTGGCCTCCCAAAGTGCTGGGATTATAGGCATGAGCCACCATGCCCTGCCTTGAAAGTGATCCTTTTATTTCACATATAGTCATATTAATTATTATCCCCCAAGCTGGAGTTAGGTTAATAATTTCATGTAAAAAATGAAGTTCAAATAGTCTTGACTGTAACCTTACTGAATAAAGAGTCTACACGAAAAGGAATTCTGTCGTGAAACCTGAGATTGTCAGAGCACTGCGTGTCACCAATAAGCTGGATATCATTTACACAAGGAATAAAAGGTCACGTGTCCCCTAAAATCCCACATTTGCTACAGACATTCTTCCCTCCATTCCTTTGTTTGTGCAGTAACTAGATACAGGTACAATGAGAGTGAATTAATTTTCCCAGATGAGTGAGAAAAGTAAATGCTCCCCAAATGCCCAAAGCCAGATTTTATCTGTCATTCTCTCTCTCTCTCTCTTTCTTTCTCTCTCTCTCTCTCTCTCTCTCTCTCTCTCTCCTCTCAGAGAGAGGCAGCACTCTCTTTGGAAGAACTGTAAGGATTGAAAATGATCCAGAAAAACTGCACGGATTGAAAATGATCCAGATTTTTAGAATTTGCCCTCACCTTGACAACACTAAAATTACAAGCAGCAGTCAACTTTTATAAGATACCCTGATTGTGTAACATTTATAGGCTGCCAAAAACATGCTAAAACTAATCAGATAACAAAGGTGAGGAGAAAACCTTCACCTGTCAGGTAGCTAGCAGTGAATACACTTTTTATTTCCATGACATTTTCTGGCAGAAAGGGGTTGGCTTAAGGCGGATCGGACTAACCTTCAATTTGTCATAGCGCTCACTCAAAGCTGCCACCTGATGATCGCGGTGCCGCCCAACCAGTTTACACAAGGCACAGATTAACTGGTCATCGGTCACGCAGTACATATTCACCTTCTCATCCTCATGCTCCAAGCACATCAGCCCCCGGATGTGTGAGTCCGGAATTGGCTCAATCAGACGATGGCCTGTAAAGGGCTTCTTATTCGGGTGAGTGGCTTTCAGGCACTCATCACAGTAGGATACTTCACAAGTGACACAGGTCTTCACAGCGTCCTGGGCAGGATCCTGGTCACAAAACTGGCAGAGGACCTTCTCGGCGGAGGTCATGGTGTTGGTGTCAAAGGCCCGCTCCCGACGGGTCTCACTGGGAGAGTTGGGCCCGCTCACTGATGCTTTCTGGAACCTGTCGATGATGTTCTGTAGGGTGACGTTGCGCTTGAGCCCGTCTAGACCTCGCTGGCTGAGGGTGATGACATGCCGGCAGGTGGGGCACTGGAAGGCGGTGATGGACTCCACGGACTCGTTGGTGGCACAGTGTGATACTAGGATGCGGTGGGCACAGTTGAAGCAGAGGCTGTGTGCGCAGGGCAGTAGAAGAGGGTCCTCAAAGAGCTCCAGACAAATAGGGCAGGTCAGTTCTGACTCCAGTGTTTCCATCTTCAGGCAAAGCTCTCTTGTGTCATCAGCAAAACCCAAGGAAGCTGATCAGCTATCTGGAAACAAGAATGTAAGATCTGATTAGGCACAGGGAGGTCAACCATGGGGGGGTGTCAGCTTTGAATGCATCTCAGAATAATTCCAAACACAGGTCATGAAAGGGTAAGTGTGTGTACATTCCAAATAATTCTCTTTCTATTCACTGGGGAAAATAGGAGGAAAAAGCATCCTGAGCCATCATATACCAGTTAATATTTTCTCGAAGTTCAGTAACTGAAAGTTTACAATTTTGTTTTTGCAATTTTGTTTTTTAAAAGGCCTTATTCAAAACTGGAAAGTAATTGAAACTGTAATTTCCATAATTTGTATTTAATCAGAATAATCTTATTGTGTCAGAGTCAGGTTTAACCTTGCACAGAAAATTAAAATGTAGAAATATTCATCAATAGAGTCTTTTATAAATTTGAATTTATAAACTTACATATTAATGTATATGAGATTTAAGGACTTTTACTCTGCAATACCAAACCAGGTTTCAGAACGGTGGGAAGGCAGTAACTATAGAAATGGACATGAAATGTATATGAAATCAAATGCAGGGATTTCAGCAGAGATGATCGTGTTTAAGTGTGGGATGTCATTTTCCAAAATATATTCCTGAGAAAAAACATTGACTTTCACAAAGATGATTGTGATACAGGCAATATTTCTGGCATGTGTTCATTATGCTTCTGAATAATTCTATTGTATAATCCGGCAGTGGGACGTGGGTAGGCAGAACGAAGCAGAGAAAAATATCTGGGGGCTTTTTTGGTGGCTGCAGTAAGTTTGAGTACCAATGACTAATATTTAGAGCAACAATTTAGTTAATTAGAATAAGGATTTCAGTGGTTATCATATTCATTTGATAAGTTATGTTATGACAATGATAATGATTACAGTATGACAATGATAACGATTACAATTTAAGGAGGCTTACAAAACTGCTGAGGGACCCTTTTGGCCAAAAAACTCCCATCACGGGTTTGTCACTGTTGCCAGCAAAAGGTCAGGCTGGCGGGAGGTCTAGCCTCACACTTAGAGCTGTGTTGGCCTGGGTACGACCTCTGCCAGCTTTGTTGCTCCCCTCCAGGCCACCCGAGGGTGGCCCAGCTGCCTGCTCCCCTCGCCATAAAGACCTGAGTGCTTTTGTGAACTCTCGTCTGCCTTCCCATCAAAAACGGTAGTGGAAGGAATTCCACACAAACCCCAGTTCATTAAGGGTGAAGAGGCCTCATGCTCATTAGCAGGCCTGGGAACCAAGCCGCTTTGAACCTTCTCCCTTTCAAGACTATTAGCAGAGGTCTGCAGACCAGTGATGGGAATATTAGATGCAGCCCACTGCAGGCTGTGGGAGAACACTGCAGTTCACCCAGTGGTCGGGAGGTTCAAATCACCCACAGGGGTGGTGGGGAGAGCATTCTCAGCCGGATTTATGGGAAGGCTTCACATCCAAAGCTATGTTTAGTGATTCTGACAATCAATCGTTTGTATTCATACCTCTGCTTATTTACAAAATTTACAGTTTCTAGAATACCCTGACCCCTTCTGAAATAGCATCCCTCAGAAATACCATATGGTGCTTTGGTGAAATTAATGCTCATCTTGCTACCAACTGAATGGTAACTGATCATTAAAAGTATAAAGTATGTCCTGAGCCTGTTAAAAATTAAATAGCTACTGGCTTCATAAAAGTCTGGTATCTTAAAAAATCTTCAGCCATTCACTAGTATTTACTACATAGGAAAGAATAAAAGAGCAACTGTGACTTGAAATATTAAAGCTTGTACATCTTTCTATAACTTGCAATGGAAACCCTAGGGTTGCTGTTGTAAGAAACATATCATCCCCACTTGGTCTCAGTTACCTGTTCCTATAGATGGCTCAGAAGAAATGGAAAGTTTTTTACCTATTAATAATTATTTTGGTTAATCATAGAAAAAAATGTAGAATTATCTTTAAATCAAAGTTCTTCCACCTTCTCATCAAAAGCATATAAATTAAAGGAAAAATATTGCCCTTTTGGTCTGCTTTGTTCTCGGATAAAACAAGAATGCCTACCAATGAATCTCAATAGAAGGATGAGCATCAAATTATGTCTGGAGAGCTATGATGACTGTATTTTTAATGCAGGTGCCAGGATTCCATCCCAAAGAGGTGTGATGAGAATTTCTAGAAAGGATTCCGCTGGAGAGACCTCAATGGAAATACTGACATTTTATTCATTCCTTCAACAGATGTTTACTGTGTGCCAGGCACTAAGTTAGCTGAAGAAGCCAGAATCTGGGGTTCACATCACCTCATCTCTATTATCACAGGCGAAGCCAGCATCATCTCTTATGTAGACTATCATAAGACCTTTCTAAACGATCTCTTGGCTTCTGTTCACTCCTGCCCTTCCCCCTATAGTCTATCCTCCACTCAGAAGCCAGAGAGCCTGTTGTTAAAACATGACAGAACATGCCTCTCCTCTTGCTCTGCCCTGTAAGGGCTTCCCATTTCACCCAGAGAGAAATTCACCAGAATAAACTAGACCCAGAAAACAAAGACTCAGACAGTGAGCTCACTTCCTCCCATGCTACCCACTCCTCTCTCTGCTCTGGGCACATGGCCTCGTTCTGACTCCTCAAACATGCCAAGCACATCAATCCCCTGCTCGCCCCTGCAAGGTCTTCAGAATCCACATGACTCTCTGCTCCAGTGTCACTTTCTCTCTGAACCCATATAAAACCAATTCCCCTTCTACCACTATACCACCTACCCATCGTGGTAATTCTTCCCCCATCTCGGTTTATTTTTCTTTATAATATTTATTACTGACATATTCTTTTAGTTTGCTTATTGCTCCTTCTGTCCCCACTGTCCTCAACACTAGAATATAAGCTCTGTGAAAGCAGAGATTTTGCTTTGCTGTTGGAAGAATGTACCACCAACACCTAGAACAGCACCCAGCACACAAAAGGACTCAAACATTCATTGATTCCATTAAATGTACTGACTTTCCAGCTAAAACCAAAAAGAATCAAACATAGCCCTTGACTTTAAGGATCTCTCAATATATTAGAACAGAGATCAGCAAACTTTTTCTATTAAGGGTAAAACAGTAGACATTTTTGGCTTTGTGGGCCAAAAGGGCCCTGTTGCAACTACTCGATCTACCACTGTAGTGCAAAAGCAATCAGACACAATACATAAAGGAATGAGTATGGCTGTGTTCCAACATAACCATATTTGGAAAAACAGGTCTCAGGCCAGCATTGGCCTGCAGATCTTATTTTGTTGAGCCATGTATTAAAAGATAGAGGCATATACAGATAACCAGAATATAAATGAAAATCATTCTCAGAGAGGTATGAATAAAATGCTGTGTGGGCAACAGCGGCAAGGATGGTGGAGCAAGACTTGGACAAGCACGAGTTTCCAGTGCTAACGGGAAATGATATGCAACAGGCTTTCAATCTGACATCAATGGAAATTATGTGACTCGAGTGCTTAGGGGAAACTCATGTAAGAATGATTTAATAGTAGCTGCTCAAAACTAGATCTTTTATTGCCATAGCACCTGGCATAGTGCTTTATGCAAGTATCTACACTGTAAATGGTTAATTGTATTAGGTGAAGACAAAATACTCAGATGTGGTAAGTGAAGTTCAGCCAATTTTCTAAATCTTTTGCCTGTATGCTACCAAAAAGGAAGGGGTTTTGGTTTGATATCTATAGTGCATCCCACTTCTTCCACTTTTACCAAGGTTTTACAATTGTATAGATATCATTTTTGTTACATAACTCAACAGTATCTTATTTGTACTCATTCCGTTCCTTCTTCTAAAAGAAACTTAGTATGGTTTATTTTCTAGCTTTCTTTAAAATATCTTTTTGGAGAAATTAAAATGCCATTCATTCCTTTTTTTTTCTTTTTTTTTTTTTTGCCATTCATTCTTTCATCAAATATTTAAGTTCATCTATGTACTTGGTCCTGAGACAAGTACTGGTAACACCTGGCCCCTGTCTCCATGATCTTATGGTTCATTCTGAGAGAGAAAATATGAACAAGTCCAGGTGTGGTGGCTCATGCCTGTAATCCCAGCACTTTGGGAGGCTGAAGTGGGATGATCGCTTGATCCCAGGAGTTTGAGACCAGCCTGGGCAACATAGTGAGACCCTATCTCTACCAAAAAATAAAAATAAAAAAATTAGCCAAGAGTGGTGGCACATGCCTGTGGTCCCAGCTACTTGGGAGGCCGAGGCTTGAGCCTGGAAGGCTGAGGCTGCAATGAACCATGATCATGCCAATGCACTACAGCCTGGGCAACAGAGCGAGCCCATCTCAAGAAAAAAAAAAATGAACAAGCTGTAATGTAACATAAAAAAGATGCATGCCAAAGACAGACAGGGAATAATCAACGCTATGTAGGGGAAGAGGAGACAGGGAGAAGCTTCCTGAAGGAGGTAAAATATGAAGTGGGTTTTAAAAGATGAACAGGGATTCACCAAGCAGATAGTGGTACGTGGGTGGGAATTTTATGCAAAATGTTATCTTTCCTTTGACTATACACACACACACACACACACACACACACACACACACACACAAATATATAGCTTTGTGTATAGGCCAGGCACGGTGGCTCACACTTGTAATCCCAGCACTTTGGGAGGCCAAGGTGGGTGAATTGCTTGAGGTCAGGAGTTCGAGACCAGCCTGGCCAACATGGTGAAACCCCCATCTCTACTAAAAACACAAAAAATTAGCTGGGTGTGGTGGTGTGCACCTGTGATTCGATCTACTTGGGAGGCTGAGGCAGGAGAATCACTTGAACCCAGGAGGTAGAAGTTGCAGTGAGCTGAAATCGTGCCACTGCACTCCAGCCTGGGCAACAGAGCAAGACTCCGTCCCAAAACAAAACAAACAAACAAACAAAAAACAACAAAAAAAACCCAATATCATAAAACAGCAGCTTTTGCCTTTTCTTAACTGTCATAATGTAATTTCCACGCCTCGAAAAAAAAAAAAAAG